TAAACACTTCCATTTCTGAGTTTGCTGTGAAAATGGTTCCTCCATCAGCATCCTATTCCTCACATCTGTTGCTCTCGTGTGGCCAGCACAGAACGGAGAGTCTGGGACTAAATCCATCGCGTTATTGTGCCACTTAACACCTTGCATGATGAAGGTGGATCAGCTCTGGTCGGGATCCAAAAACTGACACAGCTCGAGAATGTCTTTTAGCCCCGTCCTCCCTCCGGGAAGCTGGATGTCGGCTGTTCCATCAGATTCCTTTCTTTGTTTTGTTTTGTTTTTATTTGCCACTGTTCCTATTCTTTTTTTATCTTATTATTTATTTATTTAATTTATTTATTTTTTTTTTTGCCAGAAATGTCAGCATCTCTTTGGGATCTTAACTGGAGGTTGGTATTGAACTTTGTGCTTTTCCTCCACCAGCTGGATTGGTCACCTTGTCCCTTGTCGGCCCAGGCCCAAGGTTACAGCTTCCAGAATACGATTCTCGGTGTGTAAACAACAGTTGCAGGGCACATGGCACCTGGTTTGGAGGTGGTCTGTTGAGGGTTTGACAATGTTGTTCAGAGGGAACTCCAGTTCACGTTTGAGCGTTTCCGGTAATGGCGTAAGACAGAAAGATCTCAGTTACCTCCCTCTGTGTTGTCTGTCGACCTTGTTCATAAGCTGTGGCCTGTTTCAACAAAAAAAAATCTACCTATTCCTCGTCTGGCAGGAGTTAGCTGCCAGTGACTGTTCGTGCAGCCTGGCAAAAGCTCCCCCTACCACAGGCGGACACCATCGCTGCCCCTCCGCTCTCCCCTTCTTAGGGCTAGCTGTAATCCCATCCCCCAGATGTCTGCTGTGGCGGTAGTGCGGAAGGAGGGGATACTGTCCAACGTGCACGATCAAGCCAGCTGACGACTACAGGGTGCAGAAGGGACTCTTCATGCCTGCCAGGCAGCCTCCAGGTAGCCGTCTAAGGGGCAGAATCCAAAGACCATGAAGTCAACAGGGACAGCAACATGACCACTAGTGGATCTTTAATCCGCGTCTAGAAGCTTTAGGGGGAGCAGAGTGTCTGCATGAAGTGGGGACCTATCTGAGCACTTAAAAGCAGTAGCTTAGGAAGCGGTGACGTGCTAGTTACGGTAGCACAATGGCATCACCGTGTCTCGGCTGGGCTTCTCTAGCAGTAGCCACACTGTTTTGAGATGAAACACTGACTCTTAGTTTGTGTACACTGTTTGTCACACTGGAGGAGGGGGGCTTCCAGAACCATACACAAACCCCATATTTCTCCTTGTTGGTTTTACTCTCTGTCGGTTGGGTTTACAACCTAAACCCACTGATTATTTTTTGGTAACTATCACTACATTCAAATGGAACACCTAAGTGTGGGTTAGCCGGTCGAGGCTGCCATTGCTGACAGTGGTGGTTTCATTTTGTCCTCCACTGAACACTTTGAACTTAACATGAGCTCATCTTCACCTTTAAATACACACAGACACTGGCCAGATGTGGGACTCCGGTCCCAGATGTTTATCTACCCTGACTTTGTAGCACTAGTTTTCTTCTTTCCATGACTTCTTTGCAAGGAAATTACTGCAAAGTGAAGAGGGAACTCTCTAAATATATTAAAATCGTTATTTCTTGGCCTTCAATAACTTGCTCAGCACTTGAGAACCAAGTTTCATGTACAATTTCTACATCTTCCCATTTACAAGGTTGTTTGTTGTTCACACAGCACTGGACCCTGCTGGGGTCACAGTCCCTGGTGACTCATGGCTATAGCCCGCTCACTCTTTTGGATCATATCTGGAGACGTGATGTCATGGAGTTATACATCATGAAGGTGGCAAGAATGGCTCACAGACACTTTGTGACAATTTATTGATGATGGCCACATACGTGGCCTTTGAGCCAAAGGTGCAGATTTTTATTTGGACTTCAATCTGAGGAGGAATGGGCTTCTAGTCGGGTGGAAATTACCCACTGATGCTATGTCCTGAAATCCCACTGAGCTCAGTGGTCTTGGAGTATCACAGTACATCCCTGACTTCACAGTACATGAAGCTATAATATGGCTTACGCAATGAGAGGGTGGCTCTAGTTTTTAATTCAAGTGTCCAGATATTTGGGGAAATATTGGAGTGCTTCTGTCTGCTACCGCATTCCTGGAAAAATGGTAGGAGGGTCTCTGCCATTGGTCAGCCTTCTAGGAGTGGGTGGAGTTCGACCAGTTCAAGGCTAGAGTGACATTACAGTAATTCATGGTTTTAATACGCAGCCCACTCTTGAGAATCAAACCTGTCCCACTACCACAACCACACAGCCATAGGGTTCGTTAGCCTCCTTCCCCACCATCTGAGATGCTCAGGTGATGTGGGATCAGTCAAAAGATGCAGGAATACATCTGTGTGAGCTACAACCAGGATCCCCAATACCTAGGTCACCAAGGATTGATTGTATTTGCAAGAGAAGTATTACTTCCCACATCAAGCTGAAATACTAGGACAGAGAAGCAGCAGTTTATTCGCCATCGCAGAACCAACCTTCAGATCCTGTCCCTTTTTACGAGGTATATTCTTTTGCTAGAGATAAAACCACACACAGTTATTGCACTACCAATGGCCCAGGCTACCCTACAAATGTCCACACATCTCTCCAATGCTAGTGGTACCCTCCTGGGAACAACTCTAGCCATTCTCTTGACTAGCATTGCTAGCTTAGTCTCCGGGGTTTACTTAGCAAGAACGTCAACAAAAAGACAGATTTTTAGACTACTTCCAGTCCAGGATGGAGACGAGGCAGAAGAGGCAGTGGGATCTTGCAGGGCATTTGTGTGACATGGAGGCTAAATCCCAAGCTGTGCCATGCTTACCACCACACAGCACAGGATCACAGCAGGATGCAAGGAGAGAGCAGGAAGAAACAGTTGAGGTCTCTAGGCCAAATGACCAGGAAGTGGGCCCATCAGGAGCCTTCATTTTGTGAAATGCAACCAATGCTACAAAGAAGCCACATGGCTATTTCATCTGTTTGTATACGTTCCTGTAGGTTTGGTTAAGCTGAAAACAGGAATACCATTCTTGGGATAAAAATAATCTTTCAGATAATTAATAATTAAAAGAACAAGTAAAAAGAATTAAACGCTAACGACAAATGTGGCCTCTCTGGTGTGCAAAACAGCTAATGAAAATGCTCAAGGGGGTGCTCCGGATAGACCATTAAGAAGACAGGCCATTAAGACAACAGCGCTTGTCTAGCATGCCAGAGGCCGCAGGTCTGGTCTCCAGCACTGCAGAATAAAACACAAGACAGCAACAGCAAGACAGAAGGACAAACAAGAGACTCAGCAAAAGACCGAAGAGTGGTCTCCACGCCACGGTTGTCTGCCTCACCATCCAGCAACCCCCTGTCCTGAAAGGGCCAGGTCCAGCATTGCACAAGAAAAACCCGTACAGCAAGGCAGTGCCTCCAGGGTGGCCCGGAGAGCCGGTCACAGGGCTACTCTCAAGACAGCAACCAAACACAGATAACACCCTTTCGTTCTACCAAAGACAGATAAAATATTCCATATATGATTTCTTACAAGCAGAAATCAAAGAACCTCTGAAGTGGGAAAAGTGATAAATGACATGACAGTTTTCACGTCACAGCTGCTGTGTATGGTCAGATCATGGAACAATGGAAAAAAAAAAATCAAGTGCCTGTCCCTATCCTGGACCTAGATGTTTCTGGAGTCTCTTGGACTTTGAGATTCAGTGGAGTAGTTTTTGCCCCAAGATGTACATGGTACAATAGGAACAGGCTTCTAACAAATGTACCCTCTCATTTTACACAGTTTCCTGGGGCTCCCTGTGTTCTCACAGTGTTTCATTTTGAGGTGACTTCAGGTAAGGTAGAAGGGACCACAGGAACCACTCTCCAGCCTTCTCCCAACTCAGCAGGAGGCACTGACCCTTTCACACTCATACATCTCGGGCGGGGAACCTGCTGCTGGGTGAAGACGCCTCAACAAAGGCCAGACAATAGTTCTTTCCACGACAGTGGCCTTGGGCACACTTGCCCCCTCATCTCTCACACACAGACACCTGAGAATGCAGGGTCCATCAGCACGCAGCTTACTTGGCTGGAAGAAGACTCTTCAAAAGCTGTTATTTTTAGATGGCTGCTTATCCCTCCAGAATGCCGACAATTAGGGGTTGGCATACGCTTGAATCAGGCAGGGTGTGTGCCCAGGACATTGTGAAGGAGGGACCTGCATCTTCAGTGATGCAGAATGTGGCCAGTACCTGCTAACTTCCTCAGGTAAACACACCTCACACTTGGTCTCAATACAGATTTGGAGCTCACTCACTGTGTGCACAGCAAGGTACCAGGTCCCTTTCATGTGGGCTCAGCTCAAACGAAAAAGGACCTGGCCAGAACAGCTGTGTGTGTATGTGTTCGATATTATTATTGGATGGAAAATCTGGCTTTTTATTTGTCTATGTCACACACACACCCCATCTAATTTGAGTATGTCCATTTTGGAAAGTTCTGGGCAGCTCTCTCTTTCTACTTTTACCACCCAGGGGCTTCCCTGGACAAAAGGATGGGAGAGAGGTGTGCTGAGGTCCCGAGGCAGTCGGGAGTCCACCTCCCAAACCTGCTACCACCCTTGGCCAGTGCATCCCACTTTGGCTGGCTTCACTCTCAGCTGCTTCAGAGTGGCTGCCCCTCCCCACCTCCCTGTGAAAACCTGAGATTGAGCAAGGATTTCTGTTCTCCGCCAGCTCTGCCGCAGGGGCCCCCAACAGAGGCACCGCTTCCTGTCACCTCCTCTTCCAGCTCCCAAGTAGAGGCACCTAAACAGAGATTAGATTTCTGGTTTCAAGGCATATCGAACAAAGCACGCTGAAAGAACATGAGTTAGCTCATCAGCTCCATCTCTCTTCTTTCCGGTCCCTGGTCTGAAACTTCCTTGATAGCAAAGCGACCAGGAGAGAGTTGATTTGCATCTTAAGACCTATGGGTAATGCTTCTGGAGTGGGGAGTTTTATTTAGCAACTGCTTGAACTTGTGTATGGGGTTGGGAAGGAGGTGGAGCTGATCCCGATCGGGCTATCAGAGGGAGGTGCGTGGCTAGTTCCCACGGCCACACTGATGCCACGGGCCTCCACGAAGGCAGTGAGCAGCTGCTGCTGCTGCTGGCGCAGGGTGTCTGCGATGAGCAGGGGCAGGGAATTGAAGCTGGCTGTGAGGTGCTCTAGCTTGGATTCCAGGCTGCCAATCTGCTTCTCTAGGTCTTCGCTCCGGTCATTGAGCTCTGTGATTAAGTCATACATGACGTTCTGCATCTGGGGGTGACAGAGTGGAAGACAGGAAGGAGACCATCACCACAGGGGAATCTGCCATGGGGAGACGAAATGCCCTCCACCTTGCATCAGGAACCCCCTCCGCCCAGCTGTATCCCATGTCACCAAAGGAGAACTCCAGGACCTTCCAGGTGATGGAAAGGCCAAGGTGGGCACTCTATTTTTCTTATTCTGAAAGAAGTGGGTATCAATGATCAATTTTATAATTTGTTTCGTTTTGCTTTTTTGATGTAGGGTCTCACTATGTAACCCTGGATGGCCTGGAACTCAGTATGTGGACCTGGCTGGCCTGGAACTCACAGAGACCTGCCCTTTTTCAGCTTCCTGAGTGCTGGGAATAAAGGCGGGGGCCACCATGCCCAACTCAATTATCAATTTTAAATAATAAATATGCACTGAAGAAAAGAAACATTCCTTTTTTTCTTATATGGAATAAAGGTCTAAATGGTTCTCAGGTTCATACAGAGAACTGGCATCTCATCTACTGATTTAGGAGAAGGCATTGAGGTGGGGATGGTCAATGCCACAGACTCACAATTAACAAGTCAAGGTTGAAGCTGCAAGCCTTCAGCTCACTAGCAGGTCCCTTAACCTCTCTTAGCCTGGCCTCCTTACAAAATTGAAGTTAATAACTACACAGTTACAAGATTGCATCCCCCCTCCACCCCCTTTTCTATCCAGCAGCCAGAATATAAAATGTGATTAATGCCTCAGGCATGATCCTGGACCAGAAGGGGCTGCCCTGCTGAGGTGACACCCTTCTGCTCCTTGGCCTAAAAGGAGGTACAAAGACCTGGAACAGGGTGCTTCTTTTAAGGGTCGTCCCACCTGGCTGAGGTCTCGGTTGATTAGATTACACTTGACTCCTTGAACCGGTCATGCCTCCCACACTTCCTGGCAAATGCTGCCTTGAGGGTACTCCTGATGGTGTCCTGCCCCCAACACTATCACACAGTGTTCTTGGGTCCTACTTGTTACCAGAACTCCCTGCACAGACACCCTGTGGCCCCTGTGCCACTTGCAGAATCCTAGACTCACTTGGGAGTGAGATTAAGGAGTCTCTCACTCCCAGAGCCAGAAGAAGGGATTCTGATGGCAGTGGGGGAGGGGGCGGGGCAGGGCTGTGGAACTGCGTCTCTGTGGGATCTGGCAGTGACACCCTAATCTCATTTCGCCTGTCATTACTCTAGGACAGCGTTTCTCAACCTGTGGGTTGTGATCCCAGATATTTACATTACGATTCATAACAGTAGTAAAATTACAGTTATGAAGTAGAAATGAAATAATGTTACGGTTGGGGGTCACCACAAGATGAAGAACTGTATTAAGGGGTTGCAACATTAGGAAGGCTGAGAAGCCACTGCTTTAGGAGAATGTGGAAGCCATGGTGACCCCAGAGGCCAGAGGAGCAGGAAGCAGGAAGCAGGAAGCAGGAAGCAGGGTGAGAGAGAAACAGGACGAAGGCAGAGCACACAGGCAGCAGCAGAACAGAAGAGACAGCGGTGAACTGCAGGAGAGCCCCCACCTCTTGCAACAGGAATATTGGGGGAGTCGATATGAAGACAGCTCCTCTCTAGTCAGCTCTGCAGCCCCGGGAAAAGGGTGACATCCTCAGAAAAAGGGTGACCTGAGTAGTCAAGTACCTCCTCACCGGGCATGGTCCCCCTAGAATGGATGGACCACGCATCCCAGGCTGGGCCCCAGGGGCCCTCTGATGGCCTGCTCTGTGTGCCTGGGTGATGGCCATCTTGCTCCGTGGGTCCGGCTTCCTTCTCTGTGTTCATAACCAACACTGTCGCTCTTGAGACCTCCACAGCCCACAAAGCAGCAGTTCCTATCTTATCTGTTCACCCAAGTCTTAGATGGTGGGAGTCCTTTTCATATCTCCGTTGAAGAAACTGAAGGAATCTGGCAAGGGGTCCAAGCCCTCCCAGCTCTGACACCATACGTGGGGCCTGTTTGATACAGAAAATGCCATTGGGAGGCCACATTCTTAATGTAGGGAGGAGCAAAGCGCAGAGGTGGGGAGGAGGGAGGTGAGGCCCCAGGGGAAAAGGAGGGAGCACGGCTTCAAGATGCTTTCCTTCCCTTGCCGGTGCTTGATGACAGGTGCTGGGTGAACGGAGACCAACATAAAACACACACAGTTGCTGCTAGAATCTAGGCTGGTCCCGTGGGAGGAAAAGACAAAGACTAGATGGATGAGTATCAGAGTCCACCTCCTCCTCGGGTCTTACGCATGGCCCTTACAGTGGCTTTGCACGTCCCCATGTACTTCACTCCCCAGTGACAGATGGCTTAATTTCCCAATGCAATGCAGGAGAATGGCTTTCTAACACAGTGTGTGTGTGTGTGTGTGTGTGTGTGTGTGTGTGTGTGTGTGTGTTGCATGCATTTGACTCTGTGGGTGCCAGTACATGGGTTCCAGCATGCAGAAGTCAGAGGAAGATGGACAGTATCTTTCTCTATTGTTCTCTGCCTTATTCCCTGGAAACCGGGTCTCTCACCAAACCAGAAACTGCTGTCTTGGCTAAGCTAGGGCTGGCCATCAAAACTTCACTTTCTCTGCCCACCAATGCTGAAGTTACAGGCGCGCGCGCAGTTCTGCCTGGCTCTCAGTGTGGGTGTTGGGCATTCAAAGCCAGATCCTGATGCTTGCACACAAGTGCTCTGATCTCCAAGCCATCTCTTTCACCCCATCCATGAGACAGTCCGTCTCTGAGAGACTTGGGCAGCACTGCAGAAGATGAGCTCAAAGCTTGGTTTACCTGATATTCCGGGAGCTGTATCAGCCACAGTGTCCTGTTGCTGAGAGGAGGGATGTCAAACATTGCTAGCACTCAAAGAAATATCTTGGGGCATCTCACTGAGCTGCACCCAAGGCTCACAGAGTGGGTCCTAACTGTTTTCTTCTTCTTCCCAGACTCAGCGGATTGGTCTAAACGCAGACATGTGACTCAAACTGGCCAATCAAATCACCTCTCTTGAGAATTTAGAATTAAGAACAAAAGAAAGTCAATTAAGCCCAAGGTGAGCCGGGTTGTGGGGAGAGGGGAGGAAGAGGTGGCTCTTTGAACAAGCCCCTGAGCAGGAGAGAGGAGGTGGTGTGACATCGTCTCCTTGGAAGAAATGGCTCCATTTACAACGTACTTTTAGTGGATTTTGGTAACTGGAACTCTAGAGTATTAACCAACATGCCCAAGGATCGGGGGTCCATTCACCCCCTCCCACACTGGGCTCTGGGAAACCCCACACTCCACCTGAATACCCCTTCTACTGGCATATGGGTCTGTGGGCGTCTCCCGGCTGTGACTGAAGTCCTCACAGGCATAGGAAGTCCTTTCTTTGCCTTGGTCCCTCTATTGAATGAGGCGCCTGCACATGGCCCAGCAACCAGTAATTTCTGCTTGCAGGCTCTTTTCAAAGGTGCCTAATTGGCCTGAGGGAGTTTCCTTTGCTTTCCCAGGGAATGAGCTTCCATTACAATGGACATCTGCTGGAGTGTTCTCCCAGCCTGGCCCTGGGCTATGCACTTGCTATATAATTTCTATCAGAAGGCAGTGGGGGTTGAGGGGCGGCGGGAGGCCTCCTGGTCAGATTGCCCACACTCAGCTCTGCCTACAGTGTTGATTTTCAAGAAGAGAGAGTCTCGTTAGGGTGTTTATGGCAGTAAAGGCGAGAAACACTGCCTGACAATGGGGCATATGCCTGTCATATTGGGCCTTAAGACCTTAGGCTCTCAGGACCTCCATGTCCACTGTCAGCTGTCTGCCTGTTGTCACACACACACACACACACACACACACACACAAAAAAAAAAAAAAAAAAAAAAAAAAAAAAAAAAAAAAAAAAAAAAAACCACTGCCACCATCAATTTGAAGTCAGGAAAATCTGGGCTGTAAGGATCAGAAGACACAGGAATATGAATTCCTATTATAACGACAAATTGAAAAGAACCATCTGAAGTACACATATCCCAGGCCATCTGCAGAACCCTTGTCCCATTTGGGCCTCACTAAGATGCTTCCTGTGTGACTTCAGTCATCTTTAGAAGCCCCTCGACGCACAGCTAATAAACAACACACCACTAAGAACTGGGTTAGCGAATTAGTTATGAGCAAAGACAAATCTGAGCTATTTAACTTAAGAAACCAACGCCAACTATGAAAAGACAGGGCACACCGGTAGATCACACATGTAAAAAACATGAACCTAGACACTTGTCAATCAGAGAGAGCTGTCTTTGTCTTCCAGGTCCTGCACTGTGCTGTGGATGCGGCCAGGGCTGTCCTGGATGCCACTCACCTTGGAAAGGTCCACCAGGGTGTTGGCCTGGTCACTCAGCTTCCTTTGCTCCATCTTGACACCCCTCAGTCTGTGGGGAAGAGTTGGAACAGGTAGTTCAAGTCCATACTCAGCGTTAGCCCTCCGCTGCACCTGAGCTCAGAACTTAGCACTGGGACCTTGAACACCGGCAGGAGCTGACGCAATTAGAGCTGGCAGGGCCCCAAGGAAGCAAACTCCTGCCTCGATTGCCCGGGTTGCTTTCACTTCCTTGCTGCTCCCGCTGCCTTCGTCTGGGTCTACCACCTCCAATGTCTGCTTCCTGACCGTCCGGGCTTCCCTTTTCTGCCCTGTTCACTTATTTACTTATGAATTTATTTGGGGGGGGGGGAGGAGGCAGGCTCTCAATTGGTAGCCCAGACTGGTCTCAAACTGAATTTGTAGTCCGGGGTGGCTTTCAACTCATGGTGATCCTCCTGCCTCAGCCTCTTGAGTTTGGGGATTACAATCATGAACCACCATACCCAGCTCTCTATACTTTACAAAACTTATTCCTCTGTTACAAAAGGAACCAGTGAGTTGCAGTGTGTGTGTGTGTGTGTGTGTGTGTGTGTCTGAACACGCACATACGTGAAGGCACGTGGGTCTGCATGTATGTGTTTTTCTGTGCATATGTGTATATGTCTATGTGCATATGTGTCTATAATGTGTCTGTGTCTATGCATGTGTGTGTGTCCATGTGTTACTGTGCATATGTATGTCTGTGAACATGTGTATGTGTGTCCATGTGTGTCTATGCACATGTGTGTCTGTATGTCTAGGTAGCATGAGAGCCTTTAGGTTCTTGCTCTGAGCTTTACCTTCCACAGCAGCCTGCCTACTGCCTCACGGGAGCAGTGAGTGAAAGGAGAGCCTGGACTGGGTGTTTTTTGAGCAGAACAGAGTGGATCTCTTCCATGCCTCCCTGGTTTGAGAAGTACAGCCGAGCTGGGGTCTCCCGAATTCAGTTTGGCTACACCGCACACTCCTCTGGTACTCACTGGTGGATCGCCTGGAGGAACTTCCTCTGGTGTTTCCTGACTTTGGCATGGTCAATCTTCTTTAGCAGCTTTGTGTGTTTATAGATTAACCACGTTTCCCGGAGGACATTGGCGGCAGCATTCTTGATCTAAGGGAAAGGAAAGAAGCACTGTCAGGTGAAGTCCTGGCTCACACAGTGTTTTTCTGTGTGAAAACATCTACCATCTACCTCCTGAGAAGATGCTTCCTCAAAGATCTATTTTCTTAATCAAGAGCATGAAACTGAGAACAGAGGATTAAAACATATCTTATTAATCTTGTATTGGACGCAGTAGACTGGAGCTTGGAGTTGAGAGGCATTTCTCCTCCTTCTTAATGGCTTCATCGACGCCTCTCGGCCGCCGTTGCTGATGCTATATTTAGACAGGCTTCTTAGCAAGGCCTTGAAGTCTGGGGTACAGTTTGGATCAATAAATACATGCCATGGATGCCCTCACATTCAGGCTGCCACACTTCACTTGAGAGTCACAGGCTCCCTACCAAGCAGAGATTTTAAAAGGTGTCTTTGAGGAAATGTCTTTCCTCCAAACAGCAACACTAGGTACCAACAAGGCCATTGTTCCTTTCCTAAACGGCCACATTTTATTGCTGCAATTATCCATGTAAATGTAATTGGCACAAAACTGAAATCATCCCAGGGATGTCTGAGAATCAGGGAAGGTACTTAGGTGTGGGAGCACAGTTGTTTCTGAGACTGGCTTCCCAGGGCACCACAGTCACACAGCTCCACATACAACTCTGTCATCTGTTGACATGGAAACCGCTGATATCCTCCAGCTCACGACTGAGCTGAGACATATCAATGGCATCCAGATGGCAGGGGACAAGGTTTCAATCCAAACACAGACATCTTCAGCACTTAGTGGTAAGAACAAGAGAAGACAACCCTATTAAGTGCAAGCTGAACCTAGTTCTTATTCACCATCTCCGTTTCTGTCAGCCACACACACTGGCACAGGACCACAGGCTCAGGGCCTGGAAGTGAGGAGACCAGAGTAGAAAAGATCAGATGACTCCCCAGATAGGATTTTAATAAAACCAGAGAGTACAGACCAGCTTCTTCAGACCGACACACCAGCAGATGGGCACAGCTAACATGCTGAGACGTGTGGGAAGGCCTGGGAAACATTGCTTAGCAGGCTGATAATGTGTGTGTGTGTGTTTCAAAAATCTATTACTAAGGATGGGTTATATTCTTCATTGGCGCTGACATGATGTTTTTAAAAGAACATCTAAGTCTTCTCAGGAATGTCTAAGTGACATAAATATTGCTTTTTTGGTTGTTGTTCAGTTGAAAAAAAAATCTCCTGTGAAAATGGTTTTAAACACTTCCTGGGCCACCTCTGGCACTGTCTTGTTTGACAGTGAGCAGGTGGTGACTTGAGGCTGGAGATGGCCAGTGTCTGGCTAGCAAGGAGGGGCAAGCAGATGATGGGCTCTGGGCCTTGGCTCTGGTTGGCTAAGGAGGTGGTGGGAAGGGAGGGCTTTCTCCTGGCAGAGAAGATGCTGCCGTGTCCTTTAAAGGGATGGGCAATTTGCTGTAGGATCTTTCCAGCTTCCATAGGTGCTCAGCCTCCAAGGAAAGCCTTAAAGGTAAGTAGGAGGGAAAAAGCCTGCCCAAGCCTCTACAAGGATGGGCCGGGCCCTAGTTACACAGTCCCTTCTTAGGAATGCTCATAGAGCCACAGAATAACAATACGGACAAACCTTTGACAACAGTCTCTGTGTCCTGCCAACAAACATTTGAAATGGGAAAGCCTGTAGGCCCTGTACAGTTTAGGAGCAAATGCTTATTATTATCTATAATTATAAGATGAGGGGAAGACATCTAACACACACACACACACACACACACACACACACACACACACACACACACACACACGCCTCAGCCCATCAGCTTACCAATGGCAAGCAGTCCATGTGGATTTGAGCACTATGCAAATCTTGAGGTGTCAGACAGACATTAGTTATTATTATACAACTCAAGCTCCCCACTTAAAATAGAAGGAAACAGCTTTGGAGATGGAGTGAAAGGCCAGACTCACACAGAGAGCTAATGGCCAAGACTAATCAAGAGTCAGGTCCAAGAGGTGCATATGATTCTCGTATGGTCTGAAGGGAGGCAGGTCTGGACTTCATCTGAATTCAAACAGAACCATTTCCTCTTTCCCAGCATCAAGGAATTGGGAAGGATGTTAGTTTGGTTTTGGTCTTGCTTTTTAAAGTCTTTCTGGCCCCCATTCAGCAACATGACAGAACACAGACTTCAACTCTTGCCTTGAACTCTAGCCTAAATGAAAGATCCTGAAGTCACAGTTTGGCCAAATGGCAGAAAAGCATCACATCATCTTTATGGGTTTGAGAGGGAGGCCCCTGAGCATTCGGGAAAGTAACGTTAAACGCAAGCCCTTGCTCTGACTGAAATTAATTGCTAGCAAACAGCCTGGCACAAAGCTAAGTAGATCAATATCTGCAAGAGAAAAGGCAATAGGCTTTAACCGACCGCACTTGGTCTCCTGAGTCAGCCTCCCTCCATTTCACCTGGCGCCCGGCTCTGAGCATGATTGAGAAGACAGCCCTTTCAGCCCGTCTTGGGGCCTTTTCAGCCTCCAGAGTGGAGACACCTTTCCCTGACGAAGACTTAGGTACCCTCTGAGCTCTCCTGATGAACAAGGGTACCAAACCTAAAAGATGTTCCCAGGATGCCGGGTTGGGAGGGTCGGGGTTTGAGAGGGAAGCAGTGAGCTGGCGAGGACATTCAAGGTTGGCTTTGATAGGCTGAGTTGATGTCATTGAAGAGGGCTAGGTAAGGATCTTCTGTGTGAGAAAGGCCAGCTCTCCAGCTCCCAGACCCGTAAGCATGCAGGCTGACTGTGCTCACCCAGTCTCTATCTAAGATAAGCTCTCTGTCTCTCACGTTACTGTCTTCATTCTGATTAGGGTCTATATACTACAGGAAGAACTTGGTTTGTTTTGAGACAGGGTCTCAGTAAACAACCCCGGAAAGCTTGGAACTTGCTATGTAGACCAAGCTGGCCTAGAGAGATCCACCTGCCTCTGTTTTCTGAGTGCTGGGATTAAAGGAATATCCCACAATACCTGGCTAGAAAGGACTCTTCACATTAGTGGGCCTGGGGAAGAAACAGGTCCACCGAAGATCTCCCAGATAACTGAGTTTACTCTTACCGAGCACTGTGCCAGGCTTCAGAGAACACTAACATCTACATTATTTCACATATTAGCCTCCATAAATGCGGTAAGTGGGTGGGTTGTTAGCTCCACCTTAAATCTGTTGCCGAACTCTCTGAGATTTATTTTCTCCACCCATTTAAAGGACAATTAATGAATATTAATGTGTACCTATGATGAGCCAGACACTGTTCTAGAAAGTGAGAGCATAAAGATCAACAAATCAATACCATTCTCTTACAACAAACAACTGGGTCTGATGATGTAGCCTAGACCAACCTTGAACTCACTATTATCCCAGACTGACTTCAAACTTAAAATCCTTCTGCCGCAGCTTCTAATACACAGTATCAGATACTGTGTGCTTTAAAGAAAACTAAAGCGTGACTCAGAGCTGGAGTCTTGCAAGTGGTACTCATCTGCAAGATGGACTCCCGTGTTGATTAAAGGAGAATACACATAGACCATTTAGCATAAAGCCTGGCCATGGTGGATTCCGATGCACAGTCACTTGGTTTTCTTGTATCTTCCACTACATTCATCTGTTTATTGCGGGGGTGGGTGGGGGAGTGGGGTGGTGTATGCACCACTGCTGTGGAGTAATCCTTCTGTACACTGTGTGAATCACTGTGTGATTGGTTTAATAAAGAGGCTGACTGGCCAATAGCTGAACAGGATAGGCAGGAAAAGTTTGGCGGGAAAGCCAAATTGAGAATGCTGGGAGGAAGAAGAGTGGAGTCTGGAGTGGCCAGCCAGACACCAGGGGGGAAGATGAACATGCCATGCTAATAAAGGTACTGCCACGTGGCAGAGCGTAAATAAGGAATATGGGTTAACTTAAAATGTAAGCCGGGCGGTGGTGGCGCACGCCTTTAATCCCAGCACTCGGGAGGCAGAGCCAGGCGGATCTCTGTGAGTTCGAGGCCAGCCTGGGCTACCGAGTGAGTTCCAGGAAAGGCGCAAAGCTACACAGAGAAACCCTGTCTCGAAAAATACAAAAAAAAAAAAAAAAAAGTAAGAACTAGTTAGCAATAAGCCTGAGCTATTGACCGAGCATTTGTAATTAATATAAGCCTCACTGTGTTTATTTGAGAGTGGTTGAAGAACAGAAAAACTCCACCTACACACCACTGTGTACATGTAGAGAGATCAGAGGATAACTTTTGGGAGTCAGCTCTTTCCTGCTACCATGGGGTTCCAGGGATCAAACGTAGGTCAACGTGCTTGGCGGCAAGTGCCTTCTTCCACTGAGCCATCTCATAGGCCTGCTATCACTTTATTGGTATTACTTTTCCAATACGTGTCAGCTTCTTCTCATGGCCCCAGCCCCCCAAGAAAAGAAAACATACAAGAGGACACATGTCTCTGCACTCTTGGCCACAGCATCCCATGTTACTGGCTGCTCTGGCCACCTCTCTGCCGGGGTAACTGCTACAAGGTATCACGGAAGGGCTGTGAGCTGCAGGGAGAGTGGCCAGGGAGGCAAGGGGGATGAAAAGAGCTCCTTCCTTGGGTACCCATGCCCTCAGTGGCCACCGGAAGCCCACTGAGTAATTCACCCACTGGTGGGTCCCCAGCTATGCTGCCAGGACCCCTACCCAGGGAACAGTGTCCCTCTCGGTTAGAGAGGGCAAAGGGAGAATCCAGGTCAGCCTGGCCACTCTGACTTTACTATCTCAACAGTCAATGGGTGGACCCGGACTAACAGAGACGAGAGACATCACGTTGAGAGACTGCAAGCCAGCCTGTCTCCAGAGCTTGATTGGAGGTGTCCATTAGAACCAGAACTGGAGGAGGAGGCTGCTCCCTTCACCCTGCCAGCCCCCTCTCTCCTTGTCTTTCTCCACTGACTTCCTGAGACTACCGTCTCTCTCATTGCCCTGCTTATGCCTCCTGTCTTTTCCTCCATCGTGTTCCATACTCCCTGCCTTACCTACAAAGGGCTCTGCCCCCATTTTTGGTAGGAATTTGGAATGGGGAGAGGATGTATCCTGTGGTTCGGTGTTGGAGTTTGAGCTCTACCTGAAGCCACTCACGATAAATGGCAGATCATTCACAGTGATATTAAGATGACACTCAGCTAATGTGGAGTTAAACTGGCTCTTCTCCCTAGCAGGTCTAGGTCCCTAGCCACAATGCAAAGCTCAAGGAACTGACCACGTTGGGTGGTGAGTGGAGGGCTGCTGATTCCAGCAAACTAACTAGATCCTAGACAGGCATGACTAGCTGCTCATGCTGGGCATCACTACCTTGTCCCTCTCTGGACCTGAGTGTTCACATCTGGTTTGGACCAGCTCATCCCCGGAGTCTCTCCTGTTCCAGTACACTGCTTCTCGACTATTGTCCGTAAAGAAACACCATGCCCAGTCTCTCTGGGTCACAGCCTTTGTGGGAACGCCATTTGCAATCCTCATCTGGGAGAATTAGCATTCCTGGTAATGGCATGATTGATTACCTAATGAACTCTGCAGAGAAAGACTTGTTCTGGGGACCTACTCCTGAGCCAGACCAGCTGTGGGCCATCCATCTAGAGTTCCTTAGCCAGTCTTCCATGTCTGCAGAACAGCAACTGACACTATGTTTCCCTATAAAACACCCCGGCTAAGAGTAAGTCTTTAAATAAGCCTGCTGGAAACATTTTTCTCCCAGCCTCTGACATTTTCTCAGAGTTCAAGTTTTATTTAGGACTGTTCAGCAGGTTCCAGGTCTGCCCAAGGTTTTTGAGGGTGGTAGTGATATGTTCAGGTCTAAAGGGATCCAAGGGGAAGCCGAGTGCAGGATGACTGCGCTTTGGGGGAGACTGGCGCGTGGATGCAGGATAATCAGAACTTACAGCAGGGGAAACCAGGAAGAGCGTGCTTTACAGATGGGCAAGAGGAGCGTTGGAGGGGTCATCGTGTGTGAACAGCCAAGACACATGGGCGGGGACCTGTGGGCTGCAAGCAGACCGGTCAGAATTGGCACTGTCTTTGGACCTGGACACTGGAGGGACAGCAATGTTTGTTAGCAGCCCTGAAGAGTCAGGAGCCAGAAGTAGTTCAGGGCTGCTGGGTTTGGCTTTACTCACCGATTTCATGGGAAATGTAGTTCGATGAGACTATGGGGTGGGGAGGTAACCCTCTGCAAGGAGAAGGAGGTCACCCCAAGTCACACACTTGTCAAATTGACTAGAGAGCCTACCACAGGTCTGAGTGGGGAGTCAGTGGGGCACTTGACCATCTCGCATCCATGCACGGTGCTGCTATGTATCACTTCCTTAGATACTATTGAGTAGCCCAAGGGTTGGCAATACGTCATAATAATAGATTAACAGCAGCAGTGACTGAAAAGTCAGTGCGGGAAGATCCAATGCCACTAAATACAGAAGTGACGCTGCCACCAAGGTTGACAAGTTAGTCAGGTGGAAAGAGACATGTTTGGGTTTGGGAAAGCCAGAAGTGAGTCCCTCCTTCATGCTACCAGAACCAGTTCTAGTTCTAATGGACACCTCCGATCAAGCTCTGGAGCCAGGCTGGCTGGTAGTCTCTCAACGTGATGTTTCTCATCTCTGTTAGTCGGGGTCCAACCATTGACTTGTAACCGAATACCAACAGCCTGGTGCTACCCGGAGAGGCTGGGCTGAAGTTAGACAGGCTAGATAAATTAACAGCAGAATGACTCGCATTTTCCTGATTCACAGGCTGTGATTCATGTTTTCTTTCTGCTTTGATGCTTGAAGGATTAATACTGCATATACTTGCAAGGGGTTGCTTTTATCGGGGTAAGCCTACTAATTGTCCACTACTGAATGGCAACAGGCCCCGGCGGCTCCTGCACTGGATCTTTCTCTGGGAATTCACTGGAGTCTTGGGATCAGTCTTTGCCTCTCATTGGCCCATGAGTCACTGTATCTGGACACACGGCCATTTGGAAAGGGCAAAGGACAGGTCAGGACCCTCTAGGGCTTCCCTAGTGGTCAGAGGTCAGGGCCAGCTTCGGTTCAGTCAAGGTCATGCAGAAGGACCTCTGTAAAGTCTCAGTACTGCCAGCTTCAAAAGTCTCCCTCTGTAAGAATCATCCATTTTGTGTTTATTTCTCTGGGAAGAGATATAAGATATTAAAGGGACATTTCAGCGGATTTAAGTGTTCTGAGAAAAGTGAGATGTTATTCAATTAAGAAGGCACCTTGCACTCATAGACGAGCAATAAATACCCGTGGATTTGATTTTCAGCCCTATTCCTTCAAAAGTAAGTGGACTTGAAGAGGATTTTAGTGAATTATTTTTGAAAGATTGAAATTAGCAACCACAACCTCATCTCCTTCTACAATTAGAGAGCAGGAAAAAAAATGTGCTTATTTTCCTGGCCCATGAGAGAGCTGGCTTTCCTTGGCTTTATTTTCCCCTAGTGTCTGATTTACTGGGTGAAAAATGGAAAGGACAAAGGAATAGCATGAAAATACAAAGTACAGTTTCGGCTTTAAAAAGCCACCAGAGTAAACAAGAGAATGTTAATGTTTCTGTTCTTGGCAAACAACCTCTGGGAAGAGCTGGGAGGCAAAAGCCCTCTCCTCTCTTCTTGCTTGTGGGGCTCCAAAGCAGGAAACTGAGCTGACTCAGGGTGACACTTGCATTTGGGCAGTTCATACCCCTAGCCTTCCCCTCGGTGCTGGCATGTCTGTGGCACACTTGGAGAGGGGGCTGAGGATGAGGATCCTCAGAGCATTTGATGTGAGCGCTGCAGGGTGACAGTGTCATACTGTCATGTTGCAGCTCCGTGTTTTCTTCTGTCTGGCTGGTGGCTCGGGGCCATGATGCTCCTTATGGTCTGTATGCCAACGATATGGGAAGATTTGCTGGTACAGGTTCCTATCTGCGGCAGCTCTTTAAAGAACCCCTGCCCCCCATCAAAGACCCAACAATCAAACGCTGTAAATAATTCTGCTGAGAAGCTGAGAGACCTTGGCAACCATACACTCCGCACTGGTTTCCCCCGAGGGCCCACCCGTTCCTTCTCGGGTCTCCCTTTGTTCTGTCTTCCTGCCTGTCTTTACTTCTAACACATTTTTACGCCTTTGAAACGTTAATCACAGAAGAATTTCTCCAGCATTCAAATCCTCGACTAAGACTGTGGGGTTGCTGGTGGATTCATACCCCCTTGAAGTGCTTCCCTGGGGCCCAAGGCCTGTGTAGGGCATGGGGTCCTGGTTATTCATCTTGAGAAGAAAAGTCTTTCACGAGGTCACGTACCTGACTGTCCTTCAGGCTGCCATTGGCTTCAAGATTGCATGAAAGCTGTTGTTAAAGAAACAGCTCCTACCTAGTTTGTTGGGTCTGTTGCTGTCCTGGAAGCCTTATTCTTTTTCTGTTCCAGAGGAGCCTTATTAATTTTTGCTTGTGTTTTTATTTTGTTTTAAAGCCAGGTTTACCAGGTGGCCCAGGCTGGCTTCAAACCTGCAACGGTCCTCCTGCCTCAGCCTCTTGTGTTCTGGGATCACTGTGCCTGGCTTACATGGGCTTCCTTTTCTCTGACAACGCAGTGGGGGTGTCTGAGCAGCAGCTAATCACCCCATTCCTGTATTTTCAGCTTTTCTTCTTCCTAAGCCACGTTCATAAGGGTGCAAGTGAGAGCCATTATCCAGAAAACCCCAAAGCCCAACTGGATGATGACATTTTGATGAGCAACAATATTTGGGAACGTGGGCTCTACTGAACAATCTCTTTAAATGGCTTTTTAAAAGGGATTGGATTTAGATGTATCTCCAGTATAATTTTAAGACTTTCTACTGCCCTTCTTAATGAGAATCATGAACATATTTGAGCAGAGACAAAAACCTAGCATCACACTGGGTGATTGATTTGACCCCATCAGGCAGGGAGGGGGCTGCTATCACTGTGTGCAATTGATCTAATTATCAGGAAAATTATTTGGTTGCTTGAAGCATGCGGTGACTTAATGGTGGATTCACCTGGTTTGATGGGATTCCCTCGTCGAGCAGGAGCCGAATGCCTGAGCTGGGGCTCCCCTAACTGCACTTAGAGGAACACGGTTAATCTGTTTCGCTCAGGAACACGGTCTGATCTCTTCTGACCAGCTCCCTCTTCAGCTGTGAACCCACATGAAGGCCCGGGCACAAGGCATCTTACCCGTTTGGTGAGCTGAGTGTCCATCATGAAGTTGTGAACATGCTTCTCTGCTTTGGTGAGTTCGAGCTTTCGGGCAACCACAGCTACCACGAGGGCGGTGCACCCTGCGCCCTGCCGGAGAACATTGGAGGGCCCCAGGAGAGAAAACACACAGTTAGGAGGCAAAACACGAGACTCGGTGTGCCCATGCTCAGTGTGGGCATTTCAGGGGAATGGTATAAGACTCCAGGTCTCTGACTGATCAACACATGCCATAAAGCCTGTCAAAACCTGCTTGTGCCCTGATATCCCCACCCAAGAAGGGGTCTGCAACGCTTCTTGTCTTGTAACCCTGACATGTGGGGATGATTCTTCACAGAGCTGGCCGATTCTCAGCACTGTATGGCTATGTATAGTCTTTGGGGAATTAAACCCATGGGCAGTCAAGCTCCTGTGTGGTGCAGCAGGTGACAGAGGTCCAGCACATAGAAGCCTGTCTGTCTGTCTGATGCTGTCCTGAGCTCACACCAGCTCCAGCCCAGCAGGGAGAAAGAAAACACCGTGTGGACTGCAGTGTGCCGGCCACACCTGGCAGTTGAGGAAGTCCTGAGACCAGCCAGATGGAGAGGTGATGCATTCTCCCCAAGGATGCGTATGGCCTCCCAAAGGGGACACTTTGATAGGCACTGACTATAGTGCCTGCCCCATGTGTGGGTCTTTCTCCCTGAGGCTCGAGACTGTGACTCAGCACCAGGAACCGACTTTCAGAAGGAGCCTCACGCATTCACCAACATGCAGGGACTTTAAAGGTGACTGTGCTCTTGCCTGCAGCTAGGATTTAAGGGATCCAGAAGAGCACCCTCAGCCTCTGTAGAATAAAGTTCCTAGTCTGCTCAGGGAGCTCCCACCTACCCCCACCTCCACCTCCCGACCCCCACAGGAGAGCACAGCAGAGGAGGAGCAAAGTGGCGGGCCTGAGCTGAGCCACAGAAGAGGGGGACATCTTTCCCTGCCTTGTCCTTTAGCTATGCACTTGGCTGTCTCTGTTTAGAAACACTCTTCTCTGTGTGGCCTGGTGGCCTGTGAATCCTGAGGGAGAAAGACAGAATCCCTTTGCCTGGTTCTCTGATGGCCAGTGGAAACCATCCCTGGATTCTCCTCACGGACCGCTGCCCTCTCCTGAACATGGATACCACCCTGACCACCACCTATGGAAAAAGGTGTCAGACTTAGGAAGGCTAGCAGTGAGTTTCCCCTGCCACATAGTAAAGCAGAGGGCCAAGGCTAGCTAGCAGTTTGAGATGTTGGGGATGAAGGAATCCACTAGTCATGCTTTTGGCTTAATAGGTTTTATAATATGTGTGAGAACTGAGACTGTTTCTCAGAGACGCTACAGTCGACAGCAGAGTTGGGACAGATGCGTTTCCTACAGCACTTGCCCTTCTCCCCCTCGCTGACGAAGGCCGTCTGGCCGGCCCATGTGAGACGCTGCTGTGGAAAGTGACAGTGTTTTCTCCTAGCTCTCCACAAGGGGCCCATTACCACAGCCAAGGGACACTGTCCATTCGGCCACCCAGTCCCAGCACAGCACCCAGTCTGTGAACTTTTCTTTCTGACTCATTTTCCCAGTTTGTTTGGGGATAGCTGTGTTTTCTTGGCATCTGTGGCTTGCTGGAGACTCTGTGCCCAATTTTCAGAGGATATAGGCAATTGGACAGCCCAGTCTATAGCTGTAATCAATTTAGCCAGGCTGCCCAAAGCAAAAATAGCTTAAAAGAAACTGTCCTGGAGGGAGGATGCATGCTCCTTCTCCTCTCAAGCAAAGCCAACATCAGCCCTCTCCTTTGTATGGAACATTCAAAAAGAAGGATGTGTCCTAGCATTAAAAATGGAACATCAGAGGGAGAGGGTTCTTCCCAGGTTCCCCTGGGTTCAGAAATAATTCCACTTAAATCACCCAGGGAAAGCTGGGGTGTGACATCTGAGGAGCGAGTCCCCCTTCGCTTCATGGATCTTGGGAACATCATCGAAACAACTGGTCATGGCCCAATTGCTGGGGTCTAGACAGGAGTCCTGTAGCCCCCGCCCTGGCCCGAAGCCTAGCTGGTTGACTGCAGAGGACTGTTAACAGGAAGCGCCGTGCTTAAACTAAGGAACTACTCGTCTTACATGAGAAAGATACATTGATTGATTGATTGATTGATTGATTGATTGTATGGACACAGCAAAGTGGACTAAGTCCCAGTACCCAATTTCTTTCGAATTGTAGCTGTTTCTCCAGAGGGTGCTGCCTTCTTAACAGCATTCCAACCTCAGTGCATACTCACCATTTTAATAAAAAATTTATCAAATTTAATTATGTGTGTGTGTGTGTGTGTGTGTGTGTGTGTGTGTGTGCGTGCATGCACCATGGTTCACACGTGGAGGTCAGAGAACAACCTGAGAAAGCCAGTTCTCTCCTTCGAGCTGTGGGTCCTGGGGTTTGAACTCGGGTTATCAGGCTTGGCAGTATGCTTTGGCCGATGTGCCATCTTGCTGGCCTGCATGCTCTGATTTCTTTTAGAAAATTCATTGTCTGGATATGACTAGGGAGGTCACGAGTGGTAATGCCGGAGCTATTCATGACTACTAGAGGCAACGTTGTGAATGCGGGATCAGACGCCAACAACCCTCAGAAAACCGTGTGAGGAGTGCTAAGACCCAGGCTGCTGCTAGTCCTTTCCAGGATGTGAGTGAGGAGGAGAGAACTCGGGAGAGGGGAGAGAGGAGGAATGAGATGGAAAAAAAAAAGTTTGGCCACATTCTAATCAGCACTAATCAGAAAACAGAAAAGGAGAAAGAGAAAGAGAAAGAAAGAAAGAAAGAAAGAAAGAAAGAAAGAAAGAAAGAAAGAAAGAAAGAAAGAAAGAAAGAAAGAAAGAAAAAGAACAGTTGACAAGAGTGAGGAAAACGGATTACAAAGAGCCTAAGTCAGAGGCGAGTGCCCAGCCTGAGTTCTTTCGAGGCCACCAAAGAAGTGCCGTGAGACCCCCTTCCCCCAGTGCCCAGCCCTGTTGGTCCCTATGGGTTTGAGCTTCACTACTTCGTGTTCCCATGGAAACTTCTTGCTTACGAGAGTTATCCCAAGCTTGCTTTCATCACCTGGGAGTGTTCGCGGGACTTGGCCATGGTGCAGCTTTGTGTAACAGGTGAACCACCAAGAACCTGGTTAACCGTAGTGTGAGAGTTCATGCCATCCTGGTGCCGAATCTCAGGGATGTTGGTGGACAGAGGGGGGCAGAGGGGCGTGTGAGGAGAGGGTGGGATGGAATGAGAAAGTTGTCAGCTGCTGTAGTGACTTCCGTGGGATCAGAATGAGGAGCAAATCTGTGACTCAGCCTCTCGCCTGCAGATGCCAAGACCTGAATCCGTTGCCATCAACGGGAATCCTCAATTCATTCTACCCAAGTCCTGTTCCCACTGCGGGGGAGAGGACCCACCTTCAACAAGGCCAGTCTTCCCCAAGGTACACAGGTAAGCAAAAGACTCAGACTGATCAGAGAAAGTGTGACTTGAGGGATGAACATGTCTAAGCCATCGGCAGATTTGGACCCAAATCTGGACCCCAACTGCTCTATAACCAGGCCTCCCACAGCTGGAAAATCTTAGACGTTGGAAAAACAAGTATCCCAAAGGGAAAAGTATGAGGTGTTCTTAACTGAAGAGGCATAAAAGGAAATAAAACATAAATGAAAATGACAAATGGAAGCAGGCAGCCTGGAGCATTTACGGTTGGCTTGGTTGCTGCAACAGATTCCACAGAAGAGCCAAACCACCATCAACAGCTTTGACACCAAGGTGTTTGAGGAGAGCCACATGGAATGGGACACTAAGCAGCCATCATGCTGAGCCCTCCCTGAGCTGCTCCCAAAGTCACCTCGTCTTCATCAGCTCGAGGGGCATCTCGCAGGACACTGCTGGGGAAAGCTCACTGTCCCGCTGGACAGCTGCAAGGCCTGTTGGTCCACAACCCACATCAGGGTGGCAGAATGCATGCAGGACCGAGAAGCCCAGTCACGGACACGAAGTTACGACGCCCCTCTGGGGGCCCCGAGGTTCTCCCAGATACCCACAGAGGCACAGCCCAGAGCTTCCTGTCCCTTCTGGGTGCTGAATATTAACAGTGCTGTAAAGTATCCTGAAAAATTCCTCATGGGGAGATGCTGCAGCTCAAGGTAGATTTGTGTTAATGAGTGAACTCTCAAGTGCTCCGGGCCTATGCCAACCGTGTCAAGTTGTCCAGACAGTTATATGCCCTGCCTAATGGCAGATAATTATGCAGTTGCTGGATTGTCAAAGGAAAACAATGATTAAGGCCGTTTGCAGCAGGCACACTAAATCCTTCCCTTTCTCTTCCTGTGCAGCCCTTGCCTTGGCCTTGGTGGTGTCCATGGTAACCAAACAGGAAGCCCTACCTCTAGTCAAGGCCCTTGGAATAATAATCAGGAGATATACATCATGTGGTGGTGGTGGGGGTAGCCTTAGCAATGTGAGCCCCTAGAAAGGAATGACTCAGCTGGAGAGTCACGTTGAATAGAAAAAAAAAAAGCCACCAGGCTCCAGAGTGAGTAGCATTTAATGCGGGCAAAGAACAGAGGGAATGTCTCATGCTGGAGCCTTTGTGAGGAAAAGGCTCATATTCCTGGAGCCCGGCTTTATGCAACGCACTCCCAGGGAAGGCCTGTGCGCAGGAACTGTAACACAGGAAGCAGTGTGGGGTCCCTCACCTGCTGGCCCTTCCCAGCTGGATCCCACTGCAATCCACAAGGAACACTGTGGGCCCACGCAGCCACCAATGGGGCCGGAAGGTGGGGAGGAAGCCGAGGAAGACCACTGCCTAGGCTAGAGAAGCCGCGTCTTGGGCTAGGGCTTTCTGTGCTTTTACCACGCTTTAGAGCAGAAGCCAGGAGAGGTGATGCCAGGGAGCCAGGGAAACAGTGGGCCTGGACAGCTTCTTGGATGGGGCACAGCTCCATGCTGAGAGGGAGAATATGGCTGGTATTTAAAAATAACAGAGGCCTGTCCACCTCTCGGCAGGGCAGCGAGACTCTGAGCACCCTGCCTGAGCGCTGGGGTGGGGCCGAAGCCCACTCCGGGAGTCTCAGAAGGAAAGCTGCAGCCTTCAGGTGGCATTTCACTCCTTTCTGGTAGGAAGACTCTCTGCCTGGTTTCCTGGTGACAGTTGGAGTCCCGCCAGACAGACTCCTACTGAATGATGGGAGGTGTTTGTTCTAAAGCCTTACACTTACCATGATTTATCCCAGCCTGGCCCCTTGCCTCTCTCACCTACTGGCTCTTTCAAGGCTGCCTGCTCACACAGGACAGGAGGCTGTGGCCAGCCTCCCACTGCCCTGGGGTCTTCTCTTCTCCTAGTGGCCAGCTGGCTCCTGCCCACCAACATCAGCTCTGATGGCCACCATGCTGAGCAGAGAAGGACAGTCCCCCCTCCCTTGATGGAGTTAGCTGGAACCTTCCCTTCTGCAGACACAGGTCACTCACTGCCTCACAGGAAGGGTTCTCCTGCTTCCTGGGAGCAGCGAGGAAGGGACTGAGGCGAGAGGAGCCCCGAGAGGAGGGTGTCATGGCAACAGCGCAGGCTGAGAGCAGGACAGTGAGGGGAAAGCTGAGGGCCGGTCCACGGGGACCTAGTACCCAGGCCTCAAGCACCCCATCGGTTCCGTCCGTCCAACGCCAGCCTTGATGTCCCCAGGCCTAGCTGTGTGCCCTCTCTCTGAGGTCACTCCTCTTCTGAGAAGAGGGCCTCACCTGGGCTGAGAGAAGAAAGTCTGGCATTGGTTCTAGGACTCTGTGCAGGGTATCCAAGGGGAACACTGCCTGTCCCACCCCCATAGTATCCTCCAACCCCAGCTGCTTCGAAAGTGGGGATAGCCTGGGTACAGCTCTCATTGTTCATCCCAATGGTCCTCCACGAGCCAGCGAGGAGGCCAGTCGGGTGTCCAGCTTCACTTTACCCAGGAGAGTGCAAGCTCCCCGGGTGACAGCTGGCCCAGAGGCCACAGTGAGGGTAGAGCGAAAACTCAGAGAGATTTCTGAAATCCTGCCTCTAACTCGCACAGCACACCCCTCCTATGTGCTGCACCCAACCTCAGTAAAACGGCAGGGACATGTGCGTCCCAGAGCTCCTTGGATCCTGAGACATTTGGCCGAGGGTGGGAAGATATGGACCTCGGTGCTGGGTGCCTAGAGACCTGCTGGCCTTATCAGACACCCATACTGGAAAGCATTTGGCCCTCGGAGCCGGTGCTCTGCTGTGCAAGTGTGGAAGACAAAGCCTCGGAAAGGAAGCCAAGGCAAGCCGAGAGCCGTGCGGGCAAACCAGGACTCAAGCCAGCAGCCAAGCCCATCCAGGACACAGGTCCCTCAGGCTGGCTCAATGTTCTATTTCTGAGCTCCAGCTTAACTTGATCAGAACCAGTACCGAGGTCTATGGAACCTGGGACACAGGAAGGAGCATGGTAAACTACAAGCCCGGTGTTCCCTGGGAGTAGCGTGTAGTGAGAGGGTCAGAGCAGCAGCCAATCCCAGGGCACTTGGGGGTGGGCTCGGAAAACTAGGAAGTTTCACAGTTCACACTGGCCTTTTGATGTGCAGGAGACAGACATCCTGTTCCTAGTGACTAGCATCCCTCCCCCTCCCCAAATGGGCCCTTCTGTGCTCCTGCAACACCTGGAGGGCAAGCCAGGGGGCAGAGTACTCACCATGATGCCGGTGAGAAGACAGACGCCTTTCCCACAGTATGTGTGGGGCACCATGTCCCCATAACCAATGGAAAGGAACGTGATGGAGATGAGCCACATGGCACCCAGAAAGTTACTAGTTACATCCTGCTGGTCGTGGTACCTGCCAAGGGAAGACAGGAGTTAATCCGTGAGACCACTGCCAGGAGCAGGGGCTGTGGGAGGCGGAGGAGATGGGGTATCTGCTGAGGAAGGTGCATTGGTGACAGTGTGGCATCTCCCTTTAGGCTCCTGAAGGTCCTGCATCTGGGCCCCGCCAGGACCTGCCTGCAGCAGCTGAGTCCCAAAGGCACAGTGTTTTGTCACGATGTGCAACGCACTGTAGACGTCCTCTCACTGTTGCTAGGAAAGCTTAGGATGAAATCATGCAGGAATACAATTTAAATTTTCCTTCTAAACCGACCTTCTAAATGCATGTGGATATGATGAATCTGAGGCCACAGGCTCTTGGTCAGAATAGATCACACACACACACACACACACACACACACACACACACACACACACACACACACCACTTTCTTTAAGACAGTTAATGGGTCCCAAGACTGGCAGCTCCTGTGTGTCTAGAGGGAGGCCATTGTGGTCTGAGCCTATCTTGAAGCTGGCTTCATGGGCAGGGGCTCTGGCATGTTCACAGAAGCACAGCCTCCTTTCTGACCTGGATAAATATTTGTGGCAGGACACAGCTGGAAATATCATAATATGTTCTCTGCTTGGAGACCTTTTCTCCTATTGCCTTGCTTTTCTCCAGGGAACTCAGCCCAGGAGTTCTGCTTTGGGGAGATGCAGACATTTCCAGGGGGCTCTGTAAGTGAGTGGGTGAGACCCCTCCACCTCCAGATACCTTTTTTTTTTTTTTTTTTTGACAGGGTCTCATTATGTTGCCCTGGCTGTCCTAGAGCTTGCCCTGTAGATCAGACTGACCTTGAACTCAGATCTACCTGCCTCTGCCTTCAGAGTGCTGGGATTAAAGGCACAAACCGTCACATCTAGCTTGAAGGTGCGTGTTATTGTTCAAATGTGTTCCCTCCTAAAATGAAAATGTTGCTGGGAAGACTTCTTCCTCATGAATGGATGGAGATATTTATTTATTTGTTTATTTATTTGACAGAGTCTCATGAGCTACATAGTTCAGGCTAGCCTTGAACTCCTGATCTTCCTCCTCCATCTCCCAAGTGACAGGGTTACAGGCCCGTGACACTTCACCTGGCTTAAAAACAAGGTTTTATGCATCCATTTGCTTGGTTTGATCCTGTGCCTTCTGCTGTGAGGACACAGCCCTCCTTCCCTCTGGAGGACAACGTGGCATCAGGGCGCATCCCCAGACACTACACCTGTCGTCACCTTGACAGTGGACTTCCCAGCCTCCCAAAGCATTGCAACTAGCCTTTTCTTCTTCGTAAATGACCCAGCCCGTGGTGCTCTGTGACAGTAACATGGCAGAGCAGAGCTGCAGTTCTCCAGACAGGCCTGGGAAAAGAGCCTCAAACTCAGCAAGCAGGGCACAGGGGAGACGGCAAGGAGGAAGAGCCTTTCTCCAAGGGTCATCCCACTGGACCAATGTGAGTGGCATACAATGCAATCCTGGTCCTGATAAATCTCCCAGTCACCTACTCAGAAGCCACTACGTGGGGAACAGAGCCTGGACCAGGGACATCTGTTTGGATCGAGGGGGCAGCTGTTTGAGAACGTTGTAACCCAGGAGGCCGATACATGGCGTACAGACTCAAGCGCTGGCAAGGGCTGGGCCCTGGCTATGCTCAGCTGTGACCTCCATGCACAACGGAGTCCGGAACCCCATGAATGATCATCCCGCACTGCTTCCCCAGCCCTGTCTTCCAGGTGAGGTGTGCAGGGGCGTGTGCAAGCACATGTGTGTCTGGAGATGCACCTGAAGGGAAGGAGAACTGTTGCTAGTCAGAGGGAAGCATCTACGCTGGAGAACACCAAACACAGTACGAAGGATGCCATTTATTGAGCACCTATGGTATACAACTGACGCTCTGAACGTAAGTATTCTGTTTCTTACAGCACCCTTTGAAGTGTCTGATGGGTAAGCAGCTAGAAGCACAGAGACATTGAGTGACTTGTCCGAAGACACACAGGAAGTAATGGAAACAAAGTCCATGTGTTTTTGCTGCCCTGTTGTGCACCAGAGAAGCAGAAGTGACTGACATGTGTCCTAGAGAGTGAGAGAAAGTGTCCATGAGAGGAATGCACCTGGGCTTCAGCAGTAAACAATGAGATGGCTTGGGAGGCCAGTGCTCAGAAGAGGTTGGAGGGCCTGGAGTTCTATGGACAGATGTTTGTGTTTGGTATTAGAAGGCATGGAAGCCATTCTGGGCTCCCTGGTAGGAAATACAGCATGGCAAGAATTTCTAGGAAGGTCTGTGGTGAGCAAGATGCTTGAAAAGATGGGGCACAGCAACAAGGAAGTCATCTGAGGGGTGGGTGTGCATGGCTGGGATCAAGATGGCTGCAGCTGCCTACCGCCCTCGGGCCCAGTCTCCAATCATCAACAGGTGGCAGTGTCTTTTCATTGCGCCTGTACGAGGGCACAGGTACCTGGAACTCCTGGGGACAGTTGAAGATGGCCCGAATTGCTCTGTCACCCCTGTTTTAAAGAAGGCTGTCCCCAGTTCCTAGCCATGCTCTGCTTCTCTCCTCGGACCCTGGCTGGCTGCTCCTTCCAGGCTCATATCCGCAGGCTGGCCTGTCCTGCTCCCCTGGCCATCCTGGAGAAGCACAGGCTTAACATCCCACTCTTCCCTCCAGGACTGAGGACTGAGTGGCCCCACTGGGCCACCCTCACCCCAGTCTGACACACCTTGGACAGGTACCCGTCTACTGTCCTGCTTGCCTGTCCTTCTAGGCCCTTGGCCTGCATCCCTTCCTGCATGTTAGGAGATGACGGGCCCTGGCTCCAGCCTCTAGACTACAAAACCAGACTCTGGGAGTGGGGACGGGGCGAGACTCAGTGGTCGTGGGAAGGACACAGAAGACGGATAGAGCCCGCACAATGATCCAGCAGCACAGACGAAAACGTGGCGGGGGGTTGGGAGGGGCACAGCCAGTGTGACTGATTAGGAAGAGTATTTTCTGGGAAGCAATCTCGGGCCAGGTCTGAGTACACTGAGGTTCAATCAGGAGCGGGGAAGGTGTCAGGGATGGGCCAGTGCCAGCTGCACTGTGTAGCTCCATGGCTGTGGACAAGTAACTTAAAAGCCTCTGTGACTCGGTTTCCTTATCTGCTAATGGGAAGATTTAAATAACCCACAGGCAGCAGCAACACAGTGCGAGTACATAGCCCAGAGTAAGTGCTCACCACACATTAGCCGTAACTGCGTGTACAGGCAAAGGCGGGAACAGAGAGAGCAGGAATTACCACCTCAGAGGAAAGAGCCCCAATGGATGATGTATCGAGACAGTCACGGGACTGTCTTGAAGTTTAGGCTGAAGTACTTGACACCGGAACAGAAGCATCAGCGACACGAGACCCTTGCCGTCTGAGCATGAAGTGGCTGGCTGCCCGCAAGCCTACAGAGGCCAGGCCCCAGGCAGGGAAGTGTGTTTGCAGGTGTCCCTGGAGAAGCAGTGGGGAGCCGTGAATGCCAACCAGGTGACCAAGATCAGTGTGTGGCATGCGCAGCAACGTCACGATACCGTACACGTTGTCCTTTTCTGGCAAATCTGCAGCTGACGCTAGTGTTCGCGAGCTGCTGGCCGCCCTCAGCATCGCATCATCTAATTTATACACGCGCGCGAATTCTGGGGTACAGAGGTTAGACGTCAAAGGGGAATTGCGTGCCAGGCAAGCCGGGGTGGTGGCGCACGCCTTTAATCTCAGCATTTGGAATGCAGAGGCAGGAGGATCTCTGTGAGTTAGAGGCCAGCCTGGTCTACAGAGTGACGTGCAGGCTAGCCAGGGCTAGATACAGAGACTTTTTCTCAAAAACAAAACAAAACAAAACAAAACATTTAAAAGATAATATGTAACTACTTTTTTCCCCCTGTGGTTTTTAAAATACTCTTGTAGGTTTCTTTTTTCATTCAGCATATACACACCTTTGCTGTGTGCTGAGGCAAAGAGAAACAGATCCTGAGAAAGTCACTCATTTGCTAATTGCCCCCTCCTCTTTCGAGGGTGGGGAGGGCTATGGGAGGAGCCAACATCCTGGACTCTGCTGTGGCGAAAGCACTGTGATGGAGATGAGACCCACGTGCGACTCACCAAGCAGGAAGTGATGCTCCAGCAATCAGCTGGTGATTCAGGACTGTGGGAGGGAAGAGCCGCTCCAAGCCTATTCACAGTTTTGTGGTTTACACATGTCACACATCCACGTACTAATCTCATGCTATTTTTTGCAATAGAGCATTTTGGGGAGGAAGTAGTTTCGTGTTTTTCTTTAAGGGCTGAGGCTGAAGTTTTTCTTTGAACTCAACAGTAATTATTATAATTGATAATTTTTTTCCATCAGGGTGAACCATGGTTTTCTTTCTTTCTTTTCTTTTCTACTTAATATTACAAAATAAGTAAGAGACAGGAAAAATATGGCTGGAGAGATGTCTCATTAAACATACATGCCTACCTTTGCTCCACAAATCTCTTACGCCTAAATTCGTAGCTCCTTACCTTTAAAAGTAAGCAAGCAAGTAGGAACCTCCATGCACCTGAAGGAGGAAGGCCTCTAACACACAAAGACAGACGAAATTAGTCACTTATATCAGAAGGAAAGGAGTCAGGATCAATAGATCATTCACAGAGAACTCTTGGGCAGGGCTCGAGGGGTGGGGGTGGGGAGGGAACCTATAATTAACATTGCAAGGGAGATACAATAAGACCTTGTACCCATGAGGCAAGAAAACTGGTCAGGATGTATTATATGAGAGAAGAATCTATTTTCAATTAAAAAAAAGGGGAGGGGTGTTCTACCAGGAAAAACCAATTGAATAGAGCAGGAAGAGAAATAGAGCAGGTCTCCCAAATGGCGGAAAACTCAAAGAATAAAAATGAGCATAAAGTATAAGAAAATTGGTGAATCTGTCTACTGATCCAGAGAATAGTTTCAGAAACAAAGCACTGGTGAGGGAAGGAGGTCA